GCCAAGCGGAAGGCTCGGCCGGTTCCCTAGGAATCCTTACGTCCAAATTCCCTCCTGCTGAATGGAGGATTTCTCCCCCCCCTCCAAAAAAAACTAGTGTGGGTTCCTTTTGCCTTCCCTTTTGACTCACCTGCAAAGGCGGGTACCCTCAAAGATGCTCACTTTCCAAACGCACTGGTACAGCTTCATTTTAACACCACCTGAACTAGGAGCCCTCAATACCTTTCATGGCTCTTTGTCTTTGCATTTTGCCCCCCCCCCCCCCAACCCCACACAAAAAAAGGCTACCCGAAAATGCTAGCTTTCTGGATCTACCTGGACCCTGGATTTATTCTGGGGACCCTTATTTCTGAAACCAGTTCGACCAATTTGTTGTGGATACCATATTTTCGCCTGAAACATCCCAAAAAATAGGCAACTTGCTTGCAGAAACCCCAAACAGCACAACAAAAACCAGGAAACCTCGGCTGACTTTGGTTTCCCTTTCAAATCTCAAGCACGTGCTCCTATCTTCTACAGTGCACGCCCCCCCCCTCCCCCCCGCCCCCTGTTTTTGGCAGGGTAGACCCTGCACAGAGGTCATAATTGGCCCATGGCAAAGGGGAACCATAGGAATACAAGTCAATTCTCTGCTCCTTGGAATTTGGTCATCTTATCTGGGCTAAGTACTTTGCGGTAGTTCCCAAGCTTAAAAAGATCACCCAAATCTTATAGGCACAGCTCGGCACTTGGCAACCCCGTTTCTTGGCCCAAATCTGATGTTCAGATTCTGCCCAAAAAACAAGTAAATGCCAAAACAAAAGGCTCAGATTCTGGCCAAATAGTTTGTTTAGTTCGTCTACCCCAAAACAGATTTCAGGTTGAAACCACCAGGCTTCGGGACCGCGCCTTGAGGGCCCCCAGGGCGTCGAACTTGCGGCTGGACACCCCCGGGTAGTGCGGCTCCGGCTTTTCGGGGTCCGGGGGTGCCCCGAAACGCGCCGTGGGCACACCCAAGGACACCATCCTCGAGATCAGCTTGGAACCCTGTGGCTTCGCCTAAGAAAAAAACAAAAGGGGCTACTTCACAACACACACACACAACTCCAGAATCAAACACGGTCTTAAATGGTCGTAGTCCCAGAACCATGCTTCAAGAATGCTTTGAGGCGGATATACACACCCATTTTCGGCTGCGATTCCCCCTACCCTCCAATTAGCCGTGTTTGATTGTGACTCAGATGAGGACAGTTTACCAGAAAGCGGTGGAAGGACCCCATCCTCAGGCCTGGAAATCCTCGAGAGTCGCCAATATCAATGACCCCCCCTACAACCGTTGTGTACAACATAGCCTGTATTCAGTGTATATCATGTAGGACAAAGGACCTGTACATAAATGCTGCTTGAAACCCAAAATGGAAGCTCAAAGTGTCAATTGTGAAACTGTGCAACTGAGCATCTCGTCCACCGGTGAGCGGGACAGCCAGGCCGTTGGAGAATGACAAAGACAGAGGGCCCACACAGAGTTTGATCGATGGGAAATCGGGGAAGGGGTGGTCAGAATGGTTGAGGAAAGCTTCACGAGTTGCATGTTGTCAAGTTAAAGAAAACGGGGGGGGGGGGACTTTAGACGAGTTATTCTAGGCAATCTATGTGATATGATCAACATTGTTGATTGTTCATGGTGGCAGGTGCATTTTGCTGTCTCCAAAATGTCTGGGCCGGTAGCTTGACATGGAACTGGCTACGGATATGTCTGGAGCCAGTGACAAAGACATGCGTGCAACCACAAACCACCCTCAAGAAGCCTGGCCTTGCATCATGCAGCCAAACATAGCATGGACTTTCTCAACTTCTCCTCAAGCCTTACCCTCAAGGAGCCTTGAATCATGCAGCCAAACATAGCATGGACTTTCTCAACTTCTCCTCAAGTCTTGCGTGGCCTTAGGCCATGCATCCCCCATCACCCAATCGATTGATCAATCCGCCTGGGGTATGGCTGCCTCAAGCTGGAGTGACATGCTGAAAATGAGTCTGTAAATGGTGGTTTGACAGGCGAACAACAACACAAGCGTGTTTGAGAGAACCTAAAAATGCAACTGCTTTAAGGAACCCAGTCAAGTGCAACATGTTGGGGAATCGGCCTTCATCGCTCCCCGCTCCCCGTTCCTCTCTTGCGATCCGGCTTTCCGCACTCCCCAGCACGAAAGATCCCGTGCAATGCACGCAACATTGTCCCTTGGAGAAACATGGACAGGCTGCTGCACAATCATTAATAGGGAGTCCCTAACCATCCCCGCTGCAGCTTGCACCTGACGGAATGATTTCTGGTCGGAAAGGTGTGTTGCTTCTTGTGGGGACCCTTTTGAGGGTCGGTGTTTGTGTGACACCTCAGGAAAACCATAGAGTTTGGTGCGGGATTTCCTAGTTGAGAGACACAAAACCCTGATGGTTTCCTCCTGGAAACGCTGTGTTCGTCCGAACTCGCCCCGCACGCATCGCGAGCCGCTTGTTTTTGCATGTCTAAGGCCCCTTTGGGGCGATCAGCGGCAGTCTCACCGAAGGACCTACTGAAGACCTGGCGCCGTTGGTCTCGAGACCCAAACATCGTTGGTTTCGATTTGGTTGCGGCGTTTCTTCTGTCTCCAGACTTAAGCCTCGCACTCGACGACTCACAGGTCTTCTCAGTGATGAGCCATGTGAAAGAAACACATGCTTGTGCTGGAGAAGCTCGGTGATGAAAAAGTTTCAGCTTCGCTCCAAGGCTACTGTTGCAGTTGTCTTGAGGTTTCTTCGTGGCAAGGTTCTGGCTGTTCAGCAGTTCAGTCAGAGTGGGGCAAGAATTGGTTTTGTGAACTCCTCAGCCAGCCACCAAGCATGCCAGCAGTGCGAGCGTAGAACCTGCGTTCCATGCCTGGGTCTTTGGTTCAGCACTGGCAGTGATACGGAGCTTTGCAGCGAAGGTTCCTGCGCCAGTCGCGGCAAAAGTTGCTTTCAGCCATATGAACAACAACTTGTACATATTAACATCTTTTGTGTCTCTGACATGGCAAGAGACACTCTCCGACCAACCCATTGCAATGACATGTTTCTACAAACGCACTTGTACTAGCTTGTGCTTGATATGCAAAGATGCACTCATCCCGTTTCATGCGGACATCCCCCTCCTCGGTCCGAGGTGGCCGGCCACGACCTCGTGATGCCGACCTTGGTGCTTGCTTGCTCTAGCATCCAAATCAGGTTCACAAAAGAAGGATTCTACTTGGACTGCGTTGCCTTTAGTTTTTTCCGGTTTTAAGGGGCCCCAAATAGCACCGGTGGGCTGCTTTCTGTAGCTGGCTGCATGTGCGTTGCAGTCAGCTGAAAGCTCATAAAACCAGGCTCCGGCAGATCGTGAAATGGAGCCCCTGCACACCTTGCGCGTTGTAGTGCTTCCTCCTCGCTTGTGACAACCTGCCAGTCAGCACATGGAGAAGAAAGAGTGACCGAGTAACCCCTACCTTGGGGCATGTTCCAAATCCCCTGGAATTTGCCTCAAATGCACAAAACAAACGTCTTCAAAGCTGAAGTCTGCACAAACAAACTCCCCAACTCCAACATCGACACTTGGGCTTGTCTTTTTTGAGGCGAACCACAATAGGTGGTGTCCATTTAGTTTTGCGATTAAACCACCCCAACATGGTACCCTCAAAAAAACACACGCACACCCACTTCAGCGCCTGGTGATGTCGGTGCCGGTGCTGATGGATGTGGTGGTGCTCGATAAACATCTCCGGCGCCCTGGACTTCTTGGACCGCCTTTTTGGCGCCGCCTTTGGCTTCCGAGGAGAAGCAGAAGCTGCCTTGAAGTCCTGAACGCATCCGTTGGCTTTTGCAACAAACTTTTGTTGAACAGGTCACATGTCAATTTTCACAAGATGGAACCGCAGTTGCTTGATCTACACACTATTGCCCTTTTGAAGTGGTTCAAATCTTGAACCACAGTTGATTGATTTATTGTTAGGACAACTTTGAAACCCTTGTTTTGAACTGGTTAAACAAGATGGAACCGCATTTGGCTGATTTCAAACACATCTTCAAGACAAGCTTGAAAGCCTTGATTGAACCATGGCCTTTCAACACGCCCTTGTGCCCAACCCCCGAATTGGCCCACTCGGCTTCCCCCGAAACTTCGCAAATTTCCGCCTGCAGCAGCTGCAGGGCGGAGCGGTGCCCGGGCCGCGGCCCCGAAAAAACCAGGGGCTCTGGCGGAGGGGCTGGAGCTTCCCAACCTCAGCCCAGTCGGGGGGCGGGGGGGAGTTTTTTGGTTTTGGAGGTCAGGCTTTGGTGGAATTGTGCGATTTTTGTGTTAAGCTTTTGTTGGCTTCGTTTTTGCTTTTGAGGTCTGCCTTTGGTCTATTTGTTGTGTTTGAGGTCTGCCTTTGGTCTATTCTTTGTATTTGAGGTCAGCCTTTGGTCTATTTTTTGTATTTGTGGTCAGCCTTTTGGGGTTGGTGTAAAGAAAAAACCCAACAAAAACCAACATGTTGCGGGTCCGGTGCCTCGGGGCCTCTGCTTTGAGTTGACGCCTTGGGGTCTTGCCACGGGTTGGAGAAGGAACTTGTTGCAATGTTGGCGAATTTTAAAGGGCTATGAAAACCCTCCCCACCCCCAAAACAAATCAGGAAAAAGGCTGCCTTTGAGCTGAGCCACTTGCCTTCACCACTGTCTGGCAAGTCGAGGTCACCAGTGACCGAATCTTCACCCTGGAAGACTTCTCGAGCGAAGCCGCCGGTGCAGAAGTCTTCTCAGTCCAAGTCTGAGTGAAGTCCTCCTCTTCCTCAGCCGTCCCGAGAGAACGTCTTGAGGTGGCAAGCATGTATTCAGCAGACTGCCTCACTTCCTTAGTTTCCCTCAAACCAGTCTGAACCTGTTGGTTCCCAAAGCTAGCTTCCCAGAACTGGGAAGCGTGTTCTGGCGAGCAAGATCCCTCTCGTGAAATCTTGCTGAACATCGCCCCCGAGAGTCGCCCAAGAGAATAGCCGGGGCATGTGCCATGGCTGCCATGCGCATGGTCATGCCGCGTTTCGCATTTAGCTTTTCAGGCTGCATGACTTCGCGGACATTCCGACAAAGGATCGCCTTGTGAGAGCGAAAAAGACAGAACTAAGGAGGCCACAGGCAGCTCAGCCTCTTCCTTGACATCGCTGTAGAAGCTATGCCTGCACATGCAAACATCGAGCACTCCTGCTCGAAGCGGACATTCATGAAATATCAAATGTACGGTTCCATACCCTAAATGACTGACGGGGTGGAGAGATATCCGATATTGGATATTTCAACTCAGCACAGATCTCAAACAATGACGTGCTTCCCCGGGCTTCTACTCTCACGGATCTGACATAGTTTCAAAAGGGCTCCTGTGAAGGGTTTCTTTTGGGAGACCTTCAAATCTTGCTTTCGCAACCTCAATTTGCAAGATCGAACTGGGCGACACCGGATACATGAAACGGCGGATCGAGGGCCCAAACTGCCAAGCTGCTGAATACCTCATGGCTCATGATTGTTCAAACCTTTTCAAACATAGGCAGTTCACAAGATGACCTGTCATAAATTTGGCTGCCTCTCATAAACTACCAAACTACCAAAAGGAATCCTAGCCAAACAGGACCCATCAAAATCGCAGGTCCTGATTTGAACGTTGCCCAGAAATGCAGGAAATGACATTTCCAGGGCTGTCACTATGCCTGTTGAGCTGTAAGCTTTCAGCTTCGTCTCCGCTGACCCCTTTGCGTGACCTAGGCCAAGGCAAAGGGGCGAGTCGTGTTCAACATAGAGTGAATGTGGTCTCTCCGAGATGGAGAGGCTAAGTTTTCCCAAGCTTTCCACGGCAAACCCCAGCTGATCATCAGCGAACCTGCCAAAAAAATATTCCAGCTAACCGCCGCTGAGCCCAGCAGTTGACCAGGCGAGCTGGCAGGTTGACTTGCAGGCTGTGCAGAGGGTGGGTTAGCTGTCGGCTACCCCCAGCTAACCCCCGATTAGCTGGCGCTCCGGCGTCTCCTGGTTCTCCGGAATTGGCTCTGTTGGATCTCTCTCTCGTTGAGTGGCGCGTAAATTTCATCATACCGGGGATATTCAGTGGAATTTATATTCCAAGCTCCCAAGTATCCAAGCCGCACGGGCGCAGCTAGGTACAATGGCGCGCAAAGCGGGCGCCCACCCGCCTCAACTCCTCCCCGGGCCGAACTCGAGGTGGGGCTCCTCGGAGAATGCTGCCCCGGAAAATGCTGCCCAAGCGAGCCATGAAGAATGCCTCCACCCTTCCTCTGAGAAAAACCAAGCTTCAACGACCCATTTTTTCTAAACCTCCAGTGGTCATGGAAAAAAAGAGGGGTACCAACTGCTTGGTGGTTGATTGCAAAGGGAACCTCAACAACAAGCGAAAAAAGTGCCCTATTGCAGGTCTGGGTCTTAAACCCACCCCAAGCCGACCCACCGCCATCCTAAGTCTACCCGCAACCACTTGTCCTAAAAGTTTGCGGCAACAAAGGTTGAAACTGTATAAGATCTCTCCCACTGCGCCGCAATCACTTCCAATGATCTCTGGCCACCAAATGATTGATACATGCATTCCCTTGGGGGACTGGCTTCGGAGTAGCTCTCTGCAAAACCCTCCCGGCCTACGGACAGATCCGAATCCGATTTCGGCCTTAGATGCTGTCACACTGGCACCAACACCGGGAATTCCTGGAGGAAATATTCTGCATGATCATGAACAAAAATGACCAACTTCCTGTAGAACTTCCAGCTGGTTTCTTGGTGAAGCAACGAGGCACCACTACATTCGCTGCGGCCACATCTCGGGCCCCAACGAGGGCGATTCAGTGCATGTCCAGCTGCACCCATGCCATGTCTGCCTGCCCAAGAAGGGGCTGATCGCTTCTTCTGTGCACATGCTGCATCCGGTTGGATAGCGGCTGCCCAAGGTTCAAACAGAGGGGCGTGCTCAATAAAGAAGGATACAGTGCGGATGAAAGCAGCAATCCTTGCTTGTCCAGGTGCAAAACACGGCTTGTCTACCCTCACCTAATTTCGATAATTGTCGAATGTGACGCAGACCCTGCCCAAGTGTGCTTAAATTTGACTTTCGCTGGTCAGCAAGGGCATTCATTTGGCACCCTCTGCGTGACTGTTGATCGGGATCGGACGGCTGTGGGTGTGTGTGTGTGTGTGTCGCTATTCAATGCTCAGTCAGCCACTGTACGCACCACAGCAGCTGCACTCCAAACTGGCTCACCACTTGGGTGGTTGTCTCAACATTGTGGACCCCTTTTTAGACTCACTACAAAGGCGGCACAAATCGTCGCCAAGGTCCTTAAATTGACCCCCTTCAGACAACCTCGTGCGAACGAGCGAGCTTCCAGCCAGAGTGTTCGAGCCAAATGTGCAAACCAAATACCAACAGGCAGGAGAGATCAGAGAGCTCGCTGCCAATGCCTGAGTATCGGTGGCTGCTTCTTCCAAATGTCGGATGTGAGCCTGGCAAATAGGCTCAAGGCTCGCGAGGGCAATCTGCCATTGGGAATAAAGTGCACCCATGTTGCCAGACTCTTGGGAAACTGCGGCACGCGGCGCAAATCAAAGGGCCGCTGGGAGTGCACAACAACAACGTGGATCAACGACTGACGCAAACACGCGCCCGCCTGAAAAGGGCTGTATGGATGGCACAAGCAAATCTTATCAAATAGGACATATGAAACAACCAGGGCAAGCTGGGGAATGGATGCCTCCAAAGTGCAAACGCACTCTTGGAACTGTTGGGGTTGCTTGGCAAGTAGGCAACCCTCCCTTTTGAGGGCGCACTGATTGCGGTTTCAGCTCGGATACTAAAGGTCGAACTCGTCCAACAAACAACAGCTGATTGACTTGGTCAGGCTTGATCATGTGTGTCAAAGGCTAACCTTAAAAATTAATCATATTTCAGGGGGAGGGTTCAGCTGTTCTTTCAGGGGCATATACAATTCGGTTAAGATTGCCGCTGGGAGGTAGAGATTGGAAACATGAGACTAATTATTTAGTGAATACGGGTGATTCAACACACGAACAAGAAATGGAGAGATGGGCTGGGAAATCCGCGCGGCGAACCGGGAAACTGGAAGGCAACCATAGCAGGGGTCCCTCAAAACAATGCCAACATGCCATTGACCCATAGTGAACGACGGACCAGTGCAAGGGAACCTGCCTCAAATCAACTTGAACCGGGCCCCACCGGCACACACATCGGGATCTGTTGATCAGAAGGCCATTTCTGCTCTTGTGGTACAGGACCTGATGCTGCTGGAAGCGCGTTGACTGATCAGAGAGAGGCCTTGTCTTACTGCCACGCAGCCCCTTAAGATCTCTGCAGCCCGATGCAAAACAAACCACCCCACGCCGCGCACTTCGATGTCTTTTCTCCCATTTGCTAGCTAGCGAGGTGCAGTCAGGGCCGGCTGTTCGCTTGCGGTGAGGGGGGTTCCTAAAACTTTGGCCCCAGCACCACTCGCGAGATTACCCATCTTCCTCTTCAAGTGCGAACCATCCACCAATCCACCAATCTGCATAAATTGGATTGAACTTGAATTGAAGGAATCCCAAAGGAATCTGTTTCACGGGTTTGCAAACTCTCGCGAGGTAACTGCAGTATTTGCCCAGACGAGTCACCATCAATTAGGGCCGATTCAACTGGGTGCTAAATCGGGTGGGAAGAATGACAATTATCCGTCTTCTGTGAGTTTCCCTTTGATGCAAAATCAAATACTCATTGTCTGCTGAAATGGGTACGTTGAGGGTCCCTTTCCAGGTGGTGTTACTCGGACACCAGAACGAAATTCGCCATTGTGGGGGGTCACCCTAGTTTCGCCCGTTACCGTTTAGCACCCATTCAAGCAACGCCCAAGGACAGCACGAAGGTGGAGTTGCGCTGCTGCCAGCGCCTGTATCCTGCCTGGCAGCGGCTCCAATTCACCGAGCAGCTGAGCGAGATCAGGAGCAGCAGCCAGAGCACCGCGGCACAGGCCACTGACCGTGCCTTGGGTTGACGGGTTTATTCAACCAAAGATGGGGGGTAGACTGTCCAACCAACTAACGGAAATCCAACCAAAGGTATGTTTCTTATGAAACAAACCTTCTTCGTCGTGAAACTTCATGGCCACACAATCTTTCGCAACCCAAATACGTGCCGACGTCATTTGAGTGGGGGCGGGGGGGTGCCCTACTGAGTTGGTTTGATTAGCTAAATTGGTCACCCTGGTTGCAAGGGTAAACTTGGCAACCATGTATATATATATATATATGAGTGAGTGAGGGCTCTGCTTGAACAGGGGTTTGGTTTGGTTCGGGGCGAGACCCGTTCTCTTCCCCAAATTCAGTGCCCGCTGGAGACTTGGCTTGTGATCTCAACCCTTTGGGGCCCGGGCCGTGGGGAAATCCCTGGGAGGCCCCAGCTCCCGGAGCAACAGGCCGGAGGCTTCCCCAGCCACCAGCAGCGAACACCACCACAAGGGCCCTGAGGCTCGAGGTGACTCTTTGCTTGGCTTCCAAAAAGGGAAACCAACAAAAGCAAAAGAAGAAAACACAAAGATGAGTCAGTCATGATTGTATGAACAGAAATCAAATGGGAAAATCATGGGAGCATGATTATGTACACGGAAAGCAGAAGGCGGCCAACAGCTTATTCATTGTGGTTACTAAAGCGAAGTTTCTAAAATGTCGAACACCCTCACCAAAGGCTAACCATTTTTCATCACTCACGAAAATGAGCAAGACCCCATGGATGGATTCCTTTTGGTGTTGTATTTACTCGTTTCCTTTTGCTTTCCCTTTGGTTTCCGTTTGAGAGAAATACACAGGTGGCCTTGGAGATGGGTTAACTACCATTTTCCAGCATAAGGGGTAGTAGGAACCACCCTGAAAGAAGAACGGGTTGCTTGTTACCCACTACAGTAGCTTGCCAGTGGTCCTCCACGTTGGGTAACTCTTCGGGTGATCACTTTGCTGGTGGGCTTCAATGGTTTCTTGCTGGACTCCTGCCTTGCAGCAGCAAGGAACCGATGCCGTTCCTGGCAAAGAAGCCGATGCACAGGATCGGTTTGGAGGAAGAGAGGCAACCCCAAGCACCCGCTTGTGCAGAAGGGATCTTTTGTTGGGAGACCCAACGCGATTTGTGTTTACCAGAGGAGTACTGGCAGCTCACGTTGTCTGTTACAATGGGTTGCAAAAGGTTCCACTGTCCCCCAAATGACAAACTAACTCTTCACTTGAAGGGGATGTTCCGTGGCATGACCGACGTAATTCCATCCTCTCTTTCCCACAATCTACACTTGTTGGTTTGGGCTTTATCCTTTCGCAGCTTCTCTTTGTTTTTGCATTTGTTTGCTTGGTGCGGCTTCGCGGTTCTCCTTTTTTTAAAAAGACCTCAGAAGGACAAGGGCCTCTGGGCAATCCACCGCATGGACCTCGGCGAAACATACCTCATTGAGAATTCATAGCGTGGATTAAACCAATCTGGACCTTCCAACGACTAGACAAATCTGGTAGTGTCGTCACTGTACCACATTTCAGCGAAAGACAATTGCAGACAATGGCAAGTAGCTCAGCAAGTGCAAACTCCTGTCCGCGAATTAGCGGTAAACAACCGGCGAAACACGCAACACCCAAAACGCCAAGAAATGCAACATGCCCAGAATCTTTTAGAAGTTGGAGGGGCCGGGAGGGGAAATCAACGCAACCAATGCAACTGTCCAAATCAACTATTGGCTCCTTTTCGCTATGGTTCCTCTTCACACACCACTCCACCAAAAAACAAATCACTTTCGGCTGGCCAAACAGTTGCTCCTCAAAACATAAGAGGCGAAATGTGGCTATGAATGCACTCCCATGTAAAGTCCTCTCCCTTTGGTTCACCATTAAAGCCACCAAAAAGGGTGCCGTCTTCGCATTTAAAGTACTCAATCAAAGAACTAAATGGCCATGGGTCAAAATCCCGTACCCCCAGTGAACATCCCAATCCCAACTAAATAGACTAAAATGAGTGGTGCACCTACCCCAAAAGGGATCCCATTGGTTTTGACCCACAGCCAAATCGAAAACCGCAGAAACGTCTTCATCCTGGGCATGGGGGGTGGCGGCTCCACTGCGGCGCGCTGCAGGGCACGCAAGGCCACCAGCAGCAGCAGCAGCGTGACCCACTTCTGCTCCACCGCCAGGCTGAAGGCCTGGCGAACAGTCCCAAGAGACCCTGCCTTCGGTTGGTTGGCTTGGTCTGGTTTCTTGGCGTTTTTATTGGTTGGTTTGGCTTGGCTTGATTTGGTTGGTTGCTGTTTTTGTTGGCTGATTGGTTTCGTTTGGATTGATTTGGTTGGTTTAGTGGTGTTTTTGTTGGTTTGTGGGTTTGGTTGATTGGTTGGCTGGTGTTGTCGACTCCCTGGTTCTTGTAAAGGGTAAATGGGAAACCACCCCAAACCAAGAGGAAGCGGACCTTGTCGGCCCCCAACCAAAAGGGCCCTGTTTCCGTTGCTTCACTGTTGCTGACACGATGCTTTCAGGACCCGGCTTTGGTGCCCTCAAACAACACACACATAGGTATATTTGGACCCTGGTAGAAGGAAACCAAAGGACACAAATTTCCGATTTTCTATCCTTGTGGGTTGAGGATATTTTAGAGGCTCGGAGCAATTGAGCAATGAACATTTCGAAGAAGCGTGGAAATCTACCGGCAACTGCATGAAAAGCAAGCGATCCTGCAGCGACAACAAGGTTGTAGTTGTTGGGAGCAAGATCAATACGTTCGAACTTACGGATGGGTGCGACTTTGAAGAGGGTAAGTGGGAAAAGTGGACAAGGGTATCGTGGGAAAGGAGAAAAGGGACCTGGCTGGAATCTCAAGAAGGAGATCATAGAAGCCTTCGTCTCTGAAAACCATCCGATGCTGAATTGCTCACCTGCAGCAAGATCCAAACCTGAGGCAATCTCTGGCAGCTTTGGACACTGCCATTCCTCCCCCAGGAAAACACCAAACCGAAGATCCAACACAATGGCAGCCAAATTTGACATCATCCACATCGTTCCCCCCAGTGCCGATATCTAAACAGCCGCGGCCTCCAGCGCGATAAGCACCGCCTAAGCAGAAAGTTTGGGGGGAGGGTCATGGACCTATCTGGGAAAGGCTATCCCCGAATAAGCAGAAAGTGAAATGCCAAATTGAAAAGAATCTAAGGCCTTGAGTGCTACTCTGAATAGCTCATGTTGTGGGGAAATAGAGCAGCTTCGAACACAAAGGTCCACCGAACACACACCTCAATGCAAGACATGTTTACAATCTGAAGCGCAAATTGAGGGCGTGGACCCTGAAAGATGCCCCTTCAAATCCAAATGCGCAGAGTCACTATACAACCCCAAATAGCTAAGCCAGGTGGTTGCCACCATGTCTTCCACATGCTGCCACACACATATTTCACCTAAGGGTTGTCCTGTTTGGGGTGGACCTTATCGTTTTCCAT